TAAATACAGAGCTGGGGCATTATGACAAAAATTATAAGTATATTACTTTGAATAGATATGACTTCAACAAAAATCTAGATTATGAAGAGAGACTTCCTTTATAAACCCAGTTTTTACTATCTCCCTAAATCTAAAATTGATCCATATGAATTATCATAGACATTTTATGCCGGGATAGAATTTATTACTCAAGTCAGAGGCAAAACGAACAAGGCATTTGTAAGATGGGGTAATCGAAAAAAAAACTGGTGTTTTCATTTTTGGGAATTTTCCTAACTTTCTGGAGCATCCACCCAGGAAAACAGTCTAGTCCAGAGAGATTTGTTTTAATTGGTTGTACCTAGCTAGTACTGCTTCCTTAGACAGAAGTCACAGTAGCTCTCTGAGCAGAGCAGCAGTAGAATTAGGCCCATATTTTCTTTCTGTCTTGAATGTGGGATATGCCAATGGGTCGAATTAGGGCTTAAGCAGTGGGCACACTGAAGGGATCATATGAAGTTGAAAAGATATACTAGTACAAACATAAATGCAGGTGTTTTTTAAAATGAATTTTATGGTCCATACCAAATAGATTGCACAAAATCTGTAATGTCAGCAATAACACAATCATTTTCTCTTTCAATTTAACATAGGAGAATTTAGATAAATATCCATGCATGAGATAAAGTCAATGCCCTATTTTGCAATATAGCTAGTTCTTATATCAAGAAAGGCTCTCTATTTGGGTATGCTGAAGTGAATTCCACATGTAGAATTTTCTGTGAGACTATTGATCCTAACATGGAAGTGAAGGTGATAGTGTTAAGCTGTTCTAGTCACTGTTCTAGTCTATACATTCTCATGGGTACGCTGACTGGATCCTAGGTGTGACACAAACGTTTGCATTTTAGCACGCCATGAAGAGAAAAACAAACTTGCCTACAGGTTGCAACTTTGATTTACTTTTTCTCTTAAGCTTTCAAAATAAAACAGGTGACTTCAACAGCAAAATAAAACATGAACCAACCAAAGAAAAAAAATCAAGGAAAATATAATGATAAAAATGTAAATCACTATAAAGGGAAACTGCCAAGTAGTTGAGACCCAAACTTGACCTACTGTTTGAAACTGAAAGAGAAATTCCTATGAATTCTAATTTTACTTAAAAATACTCTATTCTATCAAAAGGTATTTAAAAAACAAACCAATGAAACAAGAACAGCGAGCATTCACATAATTTCATGCATAACATGTAGTCTCCTTTTGAACTCACACCCCTCATTGCTGAGTCACTGAGGCCACAGGTGTGTAAAAACAGGTGTCATTCTTATTTGCCCTTTTGCAAGTTGAAGATGCTGTCAAAGGACAAAATTAGCATGTACATTACATTATACTGAGCTCAAAAACAAAGGGGAAAAAAAGCAATATTCAGCCAAATGAAAGAAGCACTAGCTTTGAGAAAATAAATGTTATTTTCAAGCTTTGAAGAGCATTTTTACAAAGAGTAAGTATTCACAGGGCACTCTGGGCGGGCAATGCTGATTTAATGTAACATGTCCAATGATGGATTAGTAGTTCTGTGATGGTGCTTAATCCCCATCACCTGTAAGGCAACAGAAGGAACCTGATTAGTTATGCTCTACACCTGGGAGATTAACTAATTGCCTCTTGGCTAGAAGAGGTGGAGCTAGGCTGACTAAGAAGCTGAGGGAACTCAGATAAGGGGAGATCTAGAAGAGAGGAACTAAGGGAAGTACCCTATCCTTTGGAAGGTCCTGGAGGCAGGTCTGCTGGTTTGGGACTGGCTCTGGCCAGGATTCAGCACTATGGAGTAGGCTTATCTCCTATGGGGAACCCTAAAGTGGAGATGAGCCCCAAGCTAGGATCTGTGAGGACTAGAGAATGAGGCAGGAGGCTGTGAAGGGTGGAAAGCCAGTTTAAGTGGTACTTAGATTCCCAGCAGGAAAATCCAGGGATGTCAGTATCCTGACAAGGGGAGTATCTTAGAGGCAAGGATGTGCATCTACAAGCTCTAGTCATGTTCACAGAATCACAGGGTTAGAAGGGACCGCAAGGGTCATCTAATCTAATCCCTTGCCAAGATTCAGGATCATGGGTGGCACGTATAAGAGGTTTGGGGAGGCTAAGCATCCCCAAAAAAGGTTGGCCATGCAGGAGGGCAAATGCCATAGATGTGGCGTCTATTATCTCCATTTGGAGGTGTGCCAGCCTGCCGCTTTTACAGCGCTGGAAGCCAAGCTCCCTAGAAGTAGGTGTGGGGCTACTGGTGCCTGGATTGTGACTCTGCCTGTGTTCCACCCCAAGGCCCCACCCCTGCTTGGCCTCTTCCCCCCTCCCGCCAAGGCTCTGCCCTCACTCTGACTCTTCCACCTAGACCCCCTCGCTGGCTGCTCACTCCTCTCCACCGGGGGAGAAGAAGCAGAGAGGAGTGGGTGGGAGGCTCGAGGGAGGGGGCGGAGTGGAGACAAGAAGAGGCAGAGTGCGAACGAGACCTCGGGAGAAAGAGGTGAAACGTGGGGAGGGGCTATGGTTCCTGCACCAGTGGCCCCCGCATTTCTAGGGAGCTTCTGGTGCTTGCGTGTAAGCCTCCTCCAAACAGAAGACTCATGTGCTGCCTATGTGCAGGTTGTTAGACATTTAAGACTAGATTCTCCACCCCAACTGAGCTCTGCTTGGGTGCAGCAGAGAAGAGGAACTTCAAAGGAGCTTTTGTCTCATTGATCCTGGGCCACTTAGTGCAGGCATATGATAGAGCTTCTGAAGAGCATTGGACTGGTGTATGGTCCCTCAGTGCTCTTACAGCAACGGAGGATCAGGTGTAGCACTGCTCTGCCATGCCACTGAAACACTCCTTCCCTCCTCCATTGCCAACATGGCAGTTGGCAAAGGAGGTGGCTACACTACCAGCTTTCTGCCAGAGAAGAGCTCATGTGGGCACCCGGAATCCTCCGCTGGCTATAAAGACTGAAAAGTTAAAAGCAAATAAATGTATAAAGAAAAACCACTAAAACAAATTACTGCCCTTTTACATGTGACTAATTTTTTGTTTGCACTTTTCCTTTCATCACAGTCAAAGTAATTTCTGTTTGCTTAAAGATTTATTATGTGCCAATCACCATGACAAGTTGGCATGTTACATTGTTTAAAAACAATGCATTAATCAAGACAGTCCGCAACAAAGTGCAAAAATTGCCATTCTTTGATAAAATCCCACCCAAGATATAAACATATAATTTCCTCATTACACATGAAAGCAAAAGACCATGCACATTTTACATTACAGACCCAGTGGAATACTGGGAATGAAGTCCTATTTTCCCATTAGATAGTTTACTGGTCTTCAAAAAGAGCACTAAAAACGTATCTACGGTAACATGCAATTCAACTTTTAGATTTTATTTTTTTTAATAGCTATTAATTTAGTCTTTGCCTTTACATTTAAAAATATTTTCATGATTTCAAAAGCTAATGATTTCATAGATCATACATTTCCTGACAACTAATAACTGGATGAGGCCTCAACTCCTGCAGTCACCCATTAATTGCTCTAACAATTATCCATATGCATTGCTTCTAATATCTGGCAAACACTCATTGAAAAATTCTACATAATTATAATATCAAAAGGAACCACCACTGACATTAATTTGCCCCCTTGTTGGCAGTATCCCAGAGAGGGCAAGGACTAAATGAGCTATGATGATGAACTCACCCTTAATTTCTAGATATGGTTTCTTTAGGTCATACCCAAAGCATATTGACATGTACGGACAAGATACAAGAAACTTGCACTATACTGCTCATGCTGTATCTTCTGTTGATAAACAAAGGACATTAATGTCGTAGTAGTATCCAGGGCTGTTAATCTGGCACCCTTCATTGGTGTTAAAAATTCACTTGAAAGCCATTTTGCCCAGGAGAAACAGCAAATACCATCGAATATATTGCTCTAGGGGAATGTAGGGGTAAATTTTCACAGGGCAGAGGCCCAGCCTCCTTTTTTTGTGGGGACCACTGGAGCCTGTAATCAGAGATGCAAGTAGAATCACAAAAGGTGAAGAATGTGGGTACAAATTTTGCAACCACAGACTGTGCCTGCAAAACCTGAGGTCACCCTTTTGATAATTTGCCCCATAGTTATATGAGCAGTTCCTTATTACCCTGTCAATCTTTTGTCTTCAGGCATTTCTCCTCTGGGAAGAGGATGTGCTCACTCCATTCAGAAGCAAATGTGCTAACTGTGTAGTCTCTACTGACATGCAGAGACTAGCACAATCACTGTATTAATGACAGAATCAATGCCCGTCTCCCACCATAAATTAAAAACATTTATGATAAAATGATGGTGTTCAAAGATCAAAAATATATCTCCTGCTCTATAGATATTTCATTTGTTCACTCATAGAGCAAGATTAGCAGAGTCTGTTTACCATGTCTGGATACAACTTCCCAAGTTTTCAGTCACAGGAACATGTTACTTTATGGCAGCAGAACACTGGTTCATCAATTTCAATATCCTGCTTTAGAAACAGGCCAATATCTGATACTTCAGAGGAAAAGGAAAAAAACATAATGTGTCTAGCCAGCTGTACAATGCCATATTTGTAGGAGAAACATTCACTCCTACCCCAGCTTAGTTCTAAAACATGAGATTCAATTATTCACAACTTGGCACATATAATTTTAAATGTAATTAAGGGCTATAACTTTATCCAGCCCTTTTAAAAAGCCCCACACTGTATTTGACTGAATGACATTGTGACACAGGAATTCCATAGATTGATTGCATATTTTATAAAATAGTTCTTTTTCATTCTGCTAATCTTAGTAGCTCTTAATTCCATCAAATAGCCCCTTTGTTCTTGTTTTGTCAAATAAGGATAACCTATAGTATTTTACTATAAAGGGTAAGTAGACAACCAAATCTAATTAATCAGTTCCACAATCAATATATATTCCATAACTAGCCTTGTCTTGTGGAGAGGAAGAGCTATACATACCCTTACTGCAGATTTCCCATAACACAGATAATCTTGTCTCTCATCTATGGGACATACCTAACAATACAGAGGACACGTAAGAACAAGTGTGCACACTTTAGTGCCTCCCTCTTTGTAACTAGTTTTTCATGCTCCACTGTTTTTGGAAACTGGGGGATGACATTATGATGAATATTTGATTGCTGCTACACTTTCAACAAACATATTGAAAGATTTCCTTCATTACTTTCAGCACACATAGCACATGCAGAAGCGAGAGCAAGAGCAAGAGAGAATGACAGTGATAGTAAAATGGCTGAGATACAAAGAAAGATAAAATAATGGGGCCATTGAAAAACTAAGTGTTGTTTTATTAATTTAGCAGGCTTAGTTTTATACTTTGGTTACAGTATTTTTAAGGCACAAAACTAAAGGCCAAGTACTTTTAAACATGTAAGTGCAGCGAACCTGGTCTAATTCTTGAAGTGAATAATTATTACTATTTTAAAAAATAAAATGTTGCTTGTTACATTTTGTAATGACTGTCTAATGAGTCAATGACAGGCACAGTTATACTGGATAACTGCTGAGTCAGCACCATTGTTAGCTAATATATTTCCATCTTTCATACCTAACCAACAAAAAAGCCCAGTTAACATTAATAAGAGTTAAAGGCATGAAGCTTGAGGATTTTCACCAATGGGGAAAAACTTTAACAGCAACAAATAAAACATACATTTACATACTTTGTCATAATATAGTCTTAGAGCATTAAAACTCCACTTCTCCTAAAAGAAGGAAATCTCTTTTTTCAAGGAACTAGAGAAAAGAAAAGTCCCACTAGCTAATGTGTATGTGTACCATTGCCCTATAATGTCTAGAGACTAACAGACTCTAAAAACCTAGAAATGGCTAAGAGTAAATAGACATTCTGAAGAACTGTTCTATCCATCAGTATGCAACAAATTCTTAGGTTGGCCATGCTTATAGACACTCAGAGGCAAGTCACTGGTGAATAGTTTTTGGCACTGAGGAACTGTGTCACATGTTCAGTTTTCCACCTGCATCTGGCAGAAGCAGCTTGTTGAGCTGTCTTCACTTGGGAAAGGCCACAGACTCTGAGATTTGCAAGCAATGTTCCTCACTTGTCTTTTTTTCTCTCTCCCTCCCTCCTGCGAGACCCTTAACTGACACACCTCAGAGTGGTAGGAATAGGTAAATGCAACTAATCCTCTATACACCAGTGCCCGTCTTCTCCAGCTGTGAGGGACTGGCTCGCCCTGAACCACCAAGAGGGACAGACCTATCCTGGCCCCTCTTAGGAAGCAATATAGTTCATTTTAGGAGACAAAGGAACAAACACCTTCAACGTAATCTTTGGGGAGAAAGGCGTTTCAGACAGTTCTTTGTATCTTCTACTGGGTGGAGAAGCAAAGCCTAACAGTCTCAGTCTCCTGTATACAGGGAAAACTTAACATTCAGGACACCTGGCTGAGTCATAAGAGTTTTTTTTTCAGCAGAGCGGGAACTGAACAATACTGTATTTCCGTGAGTCTCCTGGAGTGGCGGATTCTGTATATTGACTTATTTGTAACAAAAAGTTGGCTTCCCTCTGCTCCAGATATTGGGAGATAAGTATATGTATTCGAATTCAGCTTCAGACCTTTTCCTGTCTTAGCTTGGGTGGTCAAGAAAATCAAAGTAGATGGGGCATATTCCTAATGGCCTGGTATTGGCCTTGCAGGCCCTGCTTCTCCCATCTGTGGGAAAATCAGTTGTCCCTCCCTCTGTTATTTCTCATCAAAGATCTTGTAATGTATGTAAAATTCATTCTGTTGCCAAGACATGGACAAGATCAAACTGGTGGTCTGTAACTTGAAAGGCTGGACCAATGAGATTTGGGTTACTCTGATCAATTAGTAGGTATATTGCTTCAGTCCACTAACATTGCCACTTCTGCCATATTTTAATGTTATAGTGTCCTTGATCATGATCTCACCTTTAAGTTTACATTAGTATAAACTGATCTTTCTATTAATGGATTCAGTAAAGGATCCATGTGGCTAAGTTGGGAGTCACTGGGTATCCTCTGGGAGAGTCTCGTATCGCACCATGATATTTAATGAAAGCAATGGCAAATTTTCTTCTTCTAATCAAAACACCTGTTTCCAGATATAAGTTGAATTTAGAAATGAGACAATTGATAGAGCAAAAACTATGCTACTACTTCATTGTTATCCTGCTGAATAGAGAGTAACTTTACCTCTGCAAGAAGGAACAGTAAACTGAATGCCTTGGATATCAAGAAACCATTTGTGCAGTGTTTTCTTTGAGTGGACCTACAAACTACATTCTGATTTTACACTCACATATGCTTCTCCTTAACTCAAATTATTATTCCTGCTCATTCTGCCACAACCCTTCTCACCCTTAGGAAGTAAAGTGGCATTAGTTGGGTGTCTATTTGGCTATAAAATTTTATTTAACAAATCAGATTTTCATCATACAAAAGGAGGGATGGCTTGTCCAGAAGTTAGTTTGTTAGCCTGGGACATGTGAGATGGAGGTTCATTTCCCTGTTCCATCACACACTTCCTGTGTTATCTTGGGAAAACCACAGTTTCTCTGTGCCTTAGTTCTCCAGGAGTATAATAGTATTTCCTTCACCCCCAAGGGTATTGTGAGAATAAGTATATTAAAGGACGTGAGCATGAAGAGACTATAACAAAGAGACCATAAAATACCTAATATAGATAGCATGTGCTTGTAACAACAAAGATCTTACTGCCTTTGAAGCAACTATCTCCTGGTGGATACAGGCAACAATTCCTGAATCATATACGAAGACTGGTAAATCACCTTCTTCTGCCTTAAGAGCTTTCTATAAGATCATTTTCCACCTCATGAGCACAGTGTAACAGAACATCTTTTGAGAAGGTTGGTGCCATTTGCCTAAGATGATACCTTTGGGTTTTGCAGTTTTATATCCTCCCTTGATTTCTATGTTCTCTAATTTTCCCTCCCTTCCTCCCTCTTTTCTCTCTCTGTGTGCGTGTGTATTTCACAAGATTTTAAGTGTTGGGAGTTGTCTCCGGGTCTTGTGGCTCAGTTTCTGAGCATATATGAAGGGAAATTAGGTGCCAATACTTCAGACCTGACAGCTAACATGGTGAGTGACTATTAACATGGTCAACCCAATAATCCCTTCTAGATTGACAAATTACTGATTACGAGAAAACTAGATTGTAAGCAGTTTGGGGCAAGGACTGTTATTTACCATATGTTTGTACAGTGCTTTGAGCTACAGTGTTCCAACCTGGTTGAGGCCTCGAGGTGCTAATGAAATAAAAATGGTCAAAAGTAACTATTCTCTTTTAGTTCAAATGGTAGAGGGCTTTGTTTTTGGGGTTAAAGATCTCACTTTCTATGTATGGTTGAGCTGATAAACGTGATGTCAGTACATACTGAACCACAGCATTCATTTATCGGTATATTATAGAGTCTGGTTTAATCCTAGGATGATGTCCCAGTGGATTAAGCTAGTGACTAAGGCTTTTGTACTGTAATGAGCTTTATGTGGGCACAATGGTCCACTCATGTGGCGCTCACAGAAGTATTGGGGCCTGTGCTTCTACTAATTATGGCTTTACAACATGAGATAGAGCTAATTCTCTTCTTAGGAATTCTCAAAGGCTCTTTGTAAAATATATAATGATGACTGCTTTGGCTCTAGATTAACTCAATATGGTGTACAAGATCGAGTCTATCTCCCTGGTATTCATTAACTTCCTTAATTTATGGTAAGAATTTGTCAGCTTCCGTTGCGTACACTTTACCTCACTGCCACCCCAAAAAGAGTGTGAAGTAAAAGGAGCCAATTTTATATCATCACTTTTCTGACTGTAACTTCAATTTAAAGTATTTTCCTTTTCAGGTTCTACTAAATTGATATGATCCCTTTAACATATAGAAGCTTTACCTTGAAGCAGATGTGAAAAGTAATTAAAAATAAATTGTGTTTTGGGGATAAGATGACCTCAGCCAGTCTTTGGAGAAATAAGCAGGGCTCTTTTAATGTAAAGATAAACATAAACATTTTAAAAAAATGTGTTTCATTAGAGGAACCCAATTCATGACTGGACATTTCTTGTTGGGGAAAACTTGTTTAACTGATAGAAAACAGAAAAATTAACTGTATAAGGAGCAAGGAAAGAGATATGTTTAATGAAACAGTCAGTGGTTGTGATACCTGCTTGTGAAAATCTCAGGAAAAGATAAAGACTGCAATGTAGTGTAACTGTACATTTTAGCCTCCATTAGTAGCAATGAACTTTAGAAATCCATAAAGTAATTCATATGTAAAGAGGCAATTATTAATCAGAGTGCAACAGCCATTTCTGAATAGCCTTTCAATTACTGAAGTTTCAGCTATACTACTGAGCACAAGATAAAATGGTTAGAAAGGCTGACAAAAGTGTCTTGCAGTCTGGGCATTTCTGTGTCCATCATGTGAACAGTCTCATTATAAATTAATGGGTAATTAAAGAAGTTTTCTTTATATAAACTTAGATCATACGTAAGTAATAGTTGCTTGGTTGCACTTTACACCATGATGGTCCCAGACTGACATGGTGATACTGAAACCATACTAGACATGGTTGCAGAGTGAGCATGCAGAATCTATCCCCAAAGTGTTTTCTCATTTGTACAGTACAAGGCAAAATAAAAAAAACCCTCAAACAAGGGTGATGGGTGAGCATGTTGACTGCGTGATAAAACGCGTGCAAAGTATACCTCAGAAACACTATAGGTGGATGAGCACGAAGGGAGCCGAGCCTGGTTGTGCAGCGGGGAAAAGAAAACATTGTTAAAAAGGAAATGGTGGCCCAGTAAGGGTCTCAGAAGGTTTCTGTATAAGTGGTTCCAGCACTGAGACATTAGCAGGAGGTTCATTTAGTTTCTGAGACCAGAGACTTCTGTGTAAGAATATCCCATAATTTAGTCATTTAAGGTGGAAGCTTCTTTGAAAATATTGTAAAATAATGGTTATAAACTAACAGTGAATTTGAAGTAAGGATTCAATCTTTCCTCCCCCCAGAGAGGTGGTAATGTGATAAGAATACCCTCATTAGGATATTCTGGAATGAGGTTTTCCAAATATCTCTCATTTAATCCTATAGGTTTTATTCTAGCTCTGCAAAGCTCACAGTGTGGAACATATTAGAGACTCTCTCCTTTACTGTATAGCCTACTGATGTCATTTGATTAGGTGCACAGTGCCAGTTTTTTGATACCATCTACTCCTCCAAAGAATGGGAGATCATTACCATTCGCAAAAGCTATCTCAGTAAAAATAAAATGCAGAAAGAGTCTCAGTTTATTCATAGGAAACGTGGTTTTCCCAGTAATTTGAATCTCAACCCCCCTTCCCAGATGATAAGTATTTCATTTTTCACAAACAGCATAAGAATTCCAAGGGCTACATTCTGTTCTTCTTTACACACCACGTCTTTGGTCATCAGTTAATTTGAATTTCAAGAAGTGTTGCAATGTAGTTTTCGCGTCAAGTTATGCCAAGAACTGGATGTAAAGATCCAAAACAGTCAAATAAATAAAAAAAATCAAAGAAAGAAGAGAAGGTGGCTTCTACAAGTGAGTTAAAAATATCCTGTTTTGACTTTTATGAAAACCTGGATAAATGAGTGGCCTGCTTTTCAGAAGAGCAGAGCATCCAAAACGTCAATTGATTTCAGTAGAATCAGTAAGTGTTTAGCACCTGTTAAAAATCAGACCAGATACATTAAAGATGAGAGCTTCTGTGTATGCTACTTGTTCTCATGGAGAACTTGCTGACTTAGGTAGCTTGATGGAATGAACTGGGAATACAACTCTAATGTGTAAGTAACATGTTGGCTTTCTTCAATGTTAGCCATGTAGATCTCATGATTCCATCTACTTTTTTCTTCATCAAAATTATAAAATATCTAATTCCAGAAAAATTCCACCGTTCATGCTTAGTCATGTTCCCTTATGCCTTGATTACAGAATTCTACAAAGCTGCTCATGCATCACTAAAAATATTTAAAAATTCTATCCAAAAACAATGTTGCTCCTCTCTAGCATTTTGCATATCATGTATTTCCCTTGCTCTTCCTACATTCTATCAGGGCCGGCTCCAGGCACCAGGCACCCAAGCACATGCTTGGGGCGGCACCTGGG